TGTCCTTACACTACTTTATTTTAAAGGTTTTGTTTTGTTTTAAATTGCAAAAGTAAAACAAGAGTGCAGTAAAAATAGCATAAACGTATACAGTGCATAAAGAAAAAGGCAGAAATCCGTCTCCATGTGGCCTCCCTGCCCAAGTCCGCTTCTCGGGGTGGGCCCTGCGGCTGCTGGAATCTCCTGTGCTGGGGAGCCCTCCACGCTGCCTCCCTCCAGGCCTTTAATCCAGCATTAAGGAGCCTGAATCTCTGTTTTTTACACCTGCACACCCTCTAGTGGGGGTGCTTTGCAAACTCAATGTGAGGACAAGAGGGCGTGGCAAGTGTCAGGCAGCCTAAGAGTGGCCTAAGGCATCCTCCGACGGGCTCCCCAACCCTTGGAAATTAGGATCTTAAATTTTGGTCCTGACCAAGTCCCACTAAAACTTGGCTACTAGGTTGGCTTTCCAATCCCAAGGAAACCGGGAACAATGATACCTACTAGCAAAAGAAAAAAGACCAAATTTGTTAGAACAGTGACCCTAACCAGTCAAAAGCAGCGTTTCACCTAGAGGTAATAATAATAACCACTTCTGGGAGCACTAATTGAAGGCCAGGCTTTGCTTTAAGAGTGAGGACTGCTAATATTTCTCTTTTCTAGATGAGGCCGCTGGTGCTCCGGGAGGTTCACTGCAGGAGGCAGGAGAGTGCAGGGGTGAGGAGCTCAGGCTGTGTGGCTCGAACACCTGGGTCAGCCATCCTGGTTCTGCTGTGTATCAGCTGTGTGACCTCAGGCTTACATTACGGAGTCTCCCACGACTTGGTTTCCTCTCTAGTAAAATGGGGATGATGACAGTGTCTCCCTCCAAGGGTGGTGGTGATTAAATAAATTAGTATGTGGCTGGTCACGGTGGTTCATGTCTGTAATCATAGCACTTTTGGGAGGCCGTGGCAGGAGGATCATGTGAGCCAGGAGTTTGAGGTTACAGTCAGCCATGATCACACCACTGTGCTCCACGCTGCATGACAGAGCAAGACCTTGTCTCAAAAAAAAAAAAAATGAGTATGAGTCAAGTGTCTGGCACAGAGAAGATGCTCAATAAATATGAGAACTGGGATTAAATAATGGGTCTAAGTCTCAGTTAGTGGCTGATGGAGGAGGCATCTGAACCCGGGTCTGATGTGGTTGAGGCTCATGGGCTTACTGGCTATGAGGTGCTGCCTCCCTAGAGCCCATTGACTGTCAGCTCCTCTCCCACCTTGAAAGCCTAGATCCTCAGGAGTCCCAGCTCTCACTGATGTGAGGATGACAGGTGTCTCCTCTGAAGAACCAATGAATCCCGGCGAGTCGTGGGAGTCAGAGAAGACTCTTAGACTTTTGGCAGAAGTGGGGCAGCCCTGGGCCTTTCTCCTCAGAGGAAAGCTTGTAAGTCCCCTGCCATGATCAGTGGTTGGCAGGGAGGATGGGGGATTCCCTATCCTTCTAGGAATCCGTGCTGATCCTCAAAGTACCCTCATTATGATACAGGATCTGACGGAAGCACAGGGGAAGGGTGGCTTCCTCCTAAGTGTGGAAATAGCAGTGAGGGAGGCCGTCAAACATGATTTGCTGGAGTGGTGATGTCTAACCTCAGTCTTCAAAGATCGGGGAAGTCAGGAAGGGAGGGGAAGGACATTCTAGGCAGAAGGAACAATTTGAGCAGAGAGGCTAGACATGGCATCTGAGAAGGATCAAGTCTGAAGAAAGAAGAAGCAAAATATGAGCCTGTAGAGGTCAACTGTGGTCAGAATTTGGGAATCTTTGTTTAATCTGCTAAAGTGCTTGGACTTTTTTTTGATTGAAAATAGGGAGCCAATGAAGAGTTATAAAGAGAGGAGGTGACAATGGTAAAGTTTTGTCAGGTAGAAAATAGGATAACCATGCAATATTGTATAATTATATAATAATCCTACATAGGATTGTAGGATTGCAGAATTATTGTATGATTGAGTTGAGGCATATAAAGTTCTTAGAATGGCACCTAAAAAATGCGCAGTAAATGTTAATGATGTTGATGCCGATGATGGTCATGTCGTATAGGAAAAGAAACTGGAAAGTTAGAGGCCACCAAGGCAATCCAAACAGTAAGTAAGGTGTGGCCAGATGGACGGAGGCCAAGCCCAGCCTTACACAGAAATCCAGTAGGCCATGGACTTGTCTGCCTGCTGGAGTAAAACCCAAGCTCCTTGGTGTGGCTCAAAAGCACTAGGTGGGGCCGGGCGCGGTGGCTCAAGCCTGTAATCCCAGCACTTTGGGAGGCCAAGGCGGGTGGATCACGAGGTCAAGAGATCGAGACCATCCTGGTCAACACGGTGAAACCCCGTCTCTACTAAAAGTACAAAAAATTAGCTGGGCATGGTGGTGCGTGCCTATAATCCCAGCTACTCAGGAGGCTGAGGCAGGAGAATTGCCTGAACCCAGGAGGCGGAGGTTGCGGTGAGCCGAGATCGCGCCATTGCACTCCAGCCTGGGTAACAAGAGGGAAACTCCGTCAAAAAAAAAAAAAAAAAAAAGCACTAGGTGACCTGGCTTCTTCTCACACATTAGGCTCCAGCCATGTTATTTTCTTTCTGGTCTTCAAACATGTCCAAACTGGCCCTGTGCCCTTGCTGTTCCCTCTGTCTAGACTGCCCACCCCTCACATCTTCGAATGGCTGCCACTTTCTTGTCACAAAGCTCTTGGTTCAAATGTTACTTCCTCTGAGAGATCTTCTCAAGCTCTGGCACATCAGCCTTCTTGCCAGATGAAATGATCTTACTTGTTTTCTTTTCTTTTCTTTTTCTTTTTTTTTTTTTGAGACGGAGTCTTGCTCTGTCGCCCAGGCTGCAGTGCAATGGTGCATTCTTGGCTCACTGCAACCTCCGCCTCCCCAGTACAAGCTATTCTCCTATCTCAGCCTCCCAAGTAGCTCAGATTACAGGCATGTGCCACCACACCCAGCTAATTTTTTTATATTTAGTAGAGAAAGGGTTTCACCATGTTAGTCAGGCTGGTCACGAACTCCTGACCTCAGGTGATACCCACCCACGTCAGCCTCCCAAAGTGCTGGGATTACAGGCATGCGCCACCACGCCTGGCCAACTTGTTTTCATGTTTAGTGTCTATAGCTTCCTATCCCCTAGAGGATGTAAACTCCATAAGGGTATGAACTATATCTTTCGTGTTCACTGCTGTATCCCTAGGTCCTTGAACACCATCTAGAACATGGAGACCCTCAATAAATGTCAGGAAAAAATAAAAGATCTGAAATGTTGTCCATTAGGGAGTCATTCTCTTCAAGCTATTCCTGGGAGAGGTGGCTAATCAAGATGTGATCAGCTAGTAACACAGCTGAATGGATTCAGTGAGATGATGACTTTGTGTAGGTAGAATATGGGGACTAAAGAGAAGGGACATCACAAAACAAAGTTAAGTTCTCACGACCCAGGGTAATTTCCATGGCAGGTAATTTCCATAGTCAGGAAGCTGCTACAGGATTTGGGGTCTAGACAGGTGACAGAAGGGTGAGGGTGGAGATGGGGTAGAAAGAGGTGGTCTCAGAAGCATGGTCCATCAGAGGGGGCCTGAAGGGCCACTGGCTCAGGTCTTATATTCCATCAGGATCTTTAAATTTAGGCTGGGAGTAGTGGCTTACACCAATGATCCTAGCACTTTGGGAGGACGAGGTTGGGGCATTACTTTAGGCCAGGAGTTCGAGGTTACAGTGAGCTGTGATGGCACCACTGCACTCCAGCCTGGGTGACAGTGCGAAACCCTGTCTCTAAATAAAATACAAATAAAATTTAAAAAGTAAAGATTATCAAACAGTATTTTAACATTATTTAGTATTTTGATTTTATCTCCAAAAGAGGTTACAATTAGTCAGACACACCAACAAGCTTGAAAAAAAAATGCTCATTTGTATAACTGTAATTACAAAATGCAAGTATCAAGATTATTCCAGAACTCATCTTTCTTTTTCCTTTGAGATGGAGTCTCACTCTGTCGCCCAGGCTGGAGTAGACTGGCATGATCTGGCTCACTGCAACCCCTGCCTCCCAGGGGCAAGCAGTTCTCCTGCTTCCGCCTCCTTAGTAGCTGGGACTACAGATGCCCATCACTACACCCGGCGAATTTTTGTATTTTTAGTAGAGACAGGGTTTCACCATATTGGCCAGGCTGGTCTTGAATTCCTGACCTCAAGTGATCCGCCTGCTTCGGCCTCCCAAAGTGCTGGGATTACAGGCGTGAACAACCACGCCTGGCCCAGAACTCATCTTTCAAGACCTACCTGCAGCATCTGACATAGTTGTTTTCCTCCTCGTGGCCACCCTCTTTTCACTGAGCGTCCAGGACACTGTACTCTCCTGATTGTACTTCTTTGCTGGCTACTCCAAGTCTCCTTTGGTGGTCCTTGCTCATCTCATCACCTACCCCAGAATGTCCGTTTCCAGAAGGCAGCAGAGTGAGTCCTCGGGGCCTCACCTGAAGTTCCTCTGGAGGAACACCTTCCATCGAAGCTGGCTCTCTCACTTTCTAACAGTCCATGTCTGAATGTCACTTTCTCAGAGAGAGGTCTCTTTCCCACCACCCTACTTAACATTGCATTCCCTCCAACCCTCTCTCTCCTCTTCCTTCCCTTAATTTTCTCTCTAGTACTATCGAATGACATGTATTTCTTGTTTAATGCTTGTCTGCCCTGACTAGTACGTCAGTTCCAGGAAAGCAGAGGTTTGTCTTTTGTTTACCACTATTTATTATCTAGAACAGTGTCTGACACACAATAGGCCCTCAAGGAAATTTTGCTGGTTACTTTTCAATTTTGCAGGTTTGCACTCAAAAATATATAGGGAGCCTTACCAGGAGCCCTAGACTGAACGTGAGTCTAAGCATTGGTATGGTTTTCCTCCACACAACCACCAAAGCAAGGGACAGAGCCGACACTCAAGAAAGATTTACTTAATTAATGACCCTCTGGAGTAGGGCAGCATTGTGTAGAGTTTGCACGGGTGCAGCTTGGTTGTGGTGCTAGAAGGGGAAACATCTGGGCTGCACTGGCTCAGAGACAGTCCCTGTACACGGGTCAGTGGAATTCAACCCACAGGGATAAATGACCGCAGGGGAAACCAGCTGCATCCGCAGCCCAGCAGAGGTTCCACCGCGCAGCCGCAGAAGGCGCCGAGGAGCTAATGCGCAGCCGCAGAAGGAGCGGACGGGTCTGCGCAGCCGCAGGAGAAGCTGGCGGTATCTGGAAGAGTTCGTTCCCGGCTGTTCGCGGGCAGCCTCAGGAGGCTGGGCCCGGGCGGGTCTTGTCCCTGCACCTCTCAACCGGGCGCGGGAGGCTGGCTCCGCTGCGCTGGCCTCGAGGCGCCAGCCCTCCTCCCCTAAGCCGCCGCCATCATGGTGCCCGTGTTCACCCTGAAACTGCGCCACAAAATCAGCCCCCGCATGGTGGCCATAGGGCGCTACGACGGGACTCACCCGTGTCTGGCGGCCGCCACCCAAGCGGGCAAGGTAACCGCCCCCACCGGCAGGGAGCTTGGGCCCCAGGAAACCCCGGGACCTCCGCCGGCCGCACCCCTGAGACCCCGCTTCCTCCCCAACCCCGCCCCCAGCCCGTGGTCCCAGCAACCGTCACCCTGTAGCTCCATCCTTCTGAGGACAATGGGGTCTTAGAGGAACAGCTTTTCTGAGCAGTTGATGTTTTCTTGTCGTCAGGCACTTAGAGTCGGGCGAGGTCGGGGTCCCTGGACATAGAGAGCTTAGAGAAGAGACGTCTCCGGAGGGAATGGGCTTGGTCCGGGTTAGCAGTAATAACGGACCCCAGATTCAAGCCAAGGGCCCAGCTTGTCACTTGGAACTCAGAATTCCTCCCACTCTCTCATGTTGCTGCTGCTGCTGCTTTTTTTTTTTTTTTTTTTTTTTTTTGAGACGGAGTCTTGCTCTGTTGCCCAGGCTGGAGTGCAGTGGCGTGATCTCGGCTCACTGCAGCCTCCACCTCCCAGTTTCATGCAATTCTCCTGCCTCAGCCCCCCAGCACGCCCGGCTAATTTTTGTATTTTTAGTAGAGACAGAATTTCACCATCTTGGCCAGACTGGTCTCGAAATCCTGACCTCAAGTGATTCATCCACCTCAGACTCCCAACGTGCTGGGATTACAGGCATGAGCCACCTCTCCCGGCCCCTCACACTGCTCCTTTATCGAACAACGACAAAACAATGCAAAGACTCCTACTAAATTATTCAAATTGTACTTTTGATCCTTGCCCATGTACTTTCAGTTCTTTCTCCATAATTTATTCATTAAGTATTAGGTGCCATTACTGTGCAAGGCGTGAGAGTCAAAGAGATAAAAGAGACATGATCATTTAACATTCACCAGACTTCTACTGAACACCTCCTGTATAGATTTTGGAGACTCAGATGTAAAGTTGGAGTCCCTACTTTCAGAAAGCTTATAGTCCAGAAGCTAACAGACAAGGCATATCAAAGCCCTGTGTATTTGCTGGAGGCATGCCCAAAATACATGGAAGGTAGTGACAAGGCTAATAACTTAAAACAGGCACAAAACTTTATTACATGAATCATCTCAACATCATTGCTACAAGGCCAAGGGCAGCAGCATGGCATAGGTATGGTGGTTCTTGGCTCCAGTATCTATTTATTTCATGACCTTGGGCAAGGCACTTAATAATAGTACATAATACATGGGGTCATGAGCTAAGCACTTTGCATATAGGAAGTGGTCACCAATTGTTATCTGTTATTTTCTTTTTATGATTCTCACTTTATTGACTAGAAATTGCAGTTCAGAGAGGTTCAACACAGTGCTTGGAGCCACTCAACTAAAAGTGTGGAATGTGGCCCAAGTGCGTGTTGTCTGACCCAGAGTGGATTTAATAAGCTAGCATTTGTGTAACAATTTATAGTTTTTAGGACACTTCCACGTATGTTGTATGTTGTAATGATATGCCTTGGGATATGGAAGTAAAAAGTGAGGCTTCGTTTTCATTAAGTAGTATAACAGAGTTAAGCTATTAATATGGGGTCTGGCACATCATGATGTTAGTTATTGTTACTGTTAGAAGTCACTGACAGGTTGGGCTCAGTGGCTTACGCCTGTAATCCCAGCACTTTGGGAGGCTGAGGCCAGCGGATTGCCTGAGGTCAGGAGTTCAAGACCAGCCTGGCTAGCATGATGAAACCCTGTCTCTACTAAAAATACAAAAATTAGCCAGTTGTGGTGGTGGGCACCTGTAATCCCAGCTACTTGGGAGGCTGAGGCAGGAGAATCACTTGAACCTGGGAGGCGGAGGTTGCAGTGAGTTGAGATCGCACCACTGCACTCCAGCCTAACAGAGTGAGCCCCTTTCTAAAAAAAAAAAAAAAAAAGGCACTGACAAATGTTAAAAAGAACTTCATGTTGGTTGTGCTGTAGGTATATAGCAGATATAAAAAAGGCCTGAAAATATCCCATTGATATTAACTCAGCCCCTAATTTGAGGGCATACTACATGCTGGGCAATGTTCTTAACTCTGCAGGTGCATCGGAGAATGGCCCCTATGTGGTTTATATTTGAGAGGGGGAACCAGGCAGTTAACCGAATATGCAAGTGTCTTCACAGGAGAAAATGAATAAGGGATTCAGTATGGTGGGAGCTTGCTGTTTTACACAGGCGATCAGATGGACTCTAATAACATTTGATAAGATATTTGAAGGAACTGAGGAAGCAAGCTCTGCAGATTTGTGGGATAAGTGCCTTCCAGACCTTGAGGTGGAGATATGTGTGGTGTGTTTCAGAAGCACGAGGAAGCAGCTATGGTTGGAGGCAATGAGGGTGGCCATGAGGTAGCCAAAAGCCAGATCATATAGGAACCTGTAGGCCATGGCAAAGACCTTGGTATTTATATTGAGTAAGTTGGGAAGCTCCTGAGGGTTTTGATAAAATGGGTGTTGGAAGTCGCTTTATGTTTTAGATAAAGGCTAACTGGCTGGTATGTGGAAGATGTTCTGTGATGTGATGCAGGGAGGTAGGTGTAGGAGTAGAAGCAGGGTGATCAGGCAGAGATCCCTAGGGCAGCCCTTATACAGACTGTGACCTGGAGTGGAAGGTAGGAATGCTTGATTCTAGGGCTGTTTTTGAAAATAGCCAAAAATAAATAAGTAAATAAATAAAAATAAAAGGAGGTCCCTTGTCTTGTGTAATTGGACGGGTACTTTGTGTTCAGAACTATAAACAAATCTAAAAAGTTCTGGCCTGATCTTTTCTCTTGAGACCTTAAAAAGAATTAGTAATATTTTACAACTCAAGTAACACCATGAATATATTCTCTTAAAAGCAATTAAACATTCCAGCTAGGGTTAAAGCCTGCATCTCTAGAAACAGGACTTTATCATTAGATCTGGGATCCTGTTGTGAACATGGAGCTGATTCTGGACCTTAGCAAGGATATTTTAAAAAGAAATGTCTGTCTGGGCGTAGTGGCTCAACACCTGTAATCCCAGCACTTTGGGAGGCTGAGACGGCGGATCACCTTAGGTCAGGAGTTTGAGGCCAACCTGGCCAACTGAAACCCTGTCTCTACTAAAAATATACACCCGTAATTCCAGCTACTTGGGAGGTGAGGCAAGAGAATCGCTGGAACCCAGGAGGCAGAGGTTGCCGTGAGCTAAGATTGTGCCACTGCACTCCAGCCCGGGCAACAGAGTGAGACTCCGTCTCAAAAAATAAATAAAGGAATCTCTTGCAGGGTGAACGTTAGAGTTTTCCTCTGGGGACATTTTTTTCTCTCATGGTGATACTTAGGGGTCAGTTTAATTTATATTCTTTATAGCACCTCCTCAGCTAGAACAAATGTGTGAACTTCAGCCAGTCCTTTGGAAGCCCTGGGAGTGGTCATTTTTGTTGTGTGACTGAGATTGGTTTTCTTTCCTTGCCTGAAGGGACAGATTTGTCTCCCTCTGGACTCTCTGGGTGTAGAGAACAGCAGGAGGGAACTGGGGAGAAATCTGACTCCTGAGACCCTTGTTGCTCTTGGTAAAAATTGCAGTCTTTCCATTCCAGTAAGAATGAATATGGAGCCCGTAAGATATTTTCCCTCCTGTTCTTTCTCAACATATCTGATTTCTGGAAAACTCTGTAAGGATTGCTTTGTTCAGAATTGTCATAAAACGAAGTGTGATATGGTGGATACCATAGGAGCTGGAGCTCAGGGTCTGAAGCACACCAGGCCCTTGTCTTAGCCCTGTCACCAGACTCAAGACCTTAGCAAAGGGCCTTAACTCTTCTGACTTCACCTGGAAATCAAGGATTGATGTCAGGATCAAATGTAATTAACGTTTACCAAAGCATGTTGTAAAGTGCTACACAGATGGGAACATGTGGCTGCACACCTTATCTATGTTCAATCTTTTAAAAATTATTTTTTGTTGAAGAGGCTGCCTTGGGTAGGTATTAATTTAAAATGAATTCTGTTTGGATTTATGCAAAAGGGATGAAATGTTCATGTAAATTTTACAAACTTTAAAACTAGAAGGGGCTTGAGGAATTCCTAATCCAGTGTTTCTCATCTCCCCCTCCTTTTTTATATTGCCCACCTTGGAGGTTTTTTAGATCATGAAAATTTCCCCAGTGAAATTCTAATACCTCAGATATACTGTATATCTCTTTTTATAGTGTGGCTCTCTGAAGGGCTACATGATTCCCCTATTGGAAACCCAGTTACTTGTCCTGGGAGTGATCTCGCCCCTCTTGAGAATGCATTTTCTAGTGCAAACCTCCTTTTTACAGATGAAGTCCAAGAAAGTTAAATAATTTATGCAAACTGATTATATTTATGATAATTGAAACTGTTGAATTTATTATCTTTGGGCTAATTACTTAGTTCTGCATCACTGATATAAACTATGAAAGCCTTTAAGATACTTGATTTGCATGACTCAGTTTAAGTTTGGGAAACAAATTTACTAGCAGACCATTTTAAGGTCTAGGAAGTGAATTCATTAGGTGCTTGGATGAAAGATAATAAAGGAAGTGTTTATTCTGTTTTCCATAATCTTCTCGGTGTGTGCCAATCACATTGAAGGTGGTAGCAGCTTATTCTAGGTTGATCAGGAAAAGTCTAGTTTCTAAGAGTACTTTGATATCTTGCTGGGGGTAGCATGTAAGCTGGCCTGGTAAGCAGGGACTAGATCTGTTTCATTAGACTAGATCTTTTTCATTACCTTGTTGCTCACAAGGCTAAGAACCACCTGATTTCCATGACTCATAATGATTGAAAGTTGTTCATGCATTGAACTATGTATAAGTGTTTTAAGTTTTATAGGAGATTAAAGTGACTTCTTGTTAATGTGTTAATAACATGTTTTTTTAAGTATGATACTAATTTTTTATATTTTAAGGGAATATAATTAACTGGTTTTTGTTTTAGGTTTTTATTCACAATCCTCATACACGGAACCAGCATTTCAGTGCATCCAGGGTCTTCCAGAGTCCCCTGGAATCTGATGTTTCTCTTCTCAATATTAACCAGGCAGTCAGCTGCCTGACTGCAGGCGTATTGAACCCTGAGCTTGGCTGTGATACTCTTTTAGTGGGGACACAGACTAATCTTTTGGCTTATGATGTCTACAATAATTCGGATTTGTTCTACAGAGAGGCAAGTAATAACCCTCATAACCATAAAATTGTCATTCCTCATTAATGTCTATTTCTTATGCTTGGAAGAAATGAGATCATTTATTTTGGTCTGTTTATTATGTGACCGTTACAGTGTAGATAAACAACATGGAGATTTTGCTGTTAACATCTGCTTTATGCACTCGGAACTTATTTATTTGGTTATGGGTGCTAATCACTTGGTGACACTTGAGTTTATGAGGTATCTGTGATACTACCATCTGTCAAGATCTCCTGTTGAGAATTCAGCCAAGAGCTGGGAAGCCAGTAGACAGGTCTCCTGGTGGACTTGCATAAAAGTTTAGTGCAATAATTTATAGGAGAAGCCCTTACTGTAGCCTGCCACCTACAGGCTGCTGCAACTTTAATACCCAACTTTAATGCCCAAATATGAAGTTTTACAAACTTACCTATCTTTTCTCTCATAAATATGAATAGTTGAAACAGTTGAATTTATTATTTTTGGGTTAATTACTTAGTTCTGCGTCACTGGTATAAACCGTGAAAGCCTTCAAAATACTTGATTTGCTTGAAGTTGCTTACAGCAATTCGTATTTATTACAGAAAAGATAGGGAAGTAAAAGTAAAAGAAATTATACCTTTTTTTTCATCTAGAGATCACACTTAACTCTTGAATTTTTGAATCCAAATTTTTTACCAAGCATATATGAATACATTTTGTAGTAAAATGGAATCATATATACATGTAGCCTTTTTTTTTTTTACTCTATAGCAGTTTTATTAAGATATGATTCACATGTACAACTAACCTCCTGAAAGTATATAGTTCAGTGGTTTTTAGTGTATCCAGAGAGCTATACAACCCTCACCACAATCAATTTTCAACATTTTTACCCCCAATAGAAAACCCATACCCACTGGTGTCATGCCCCATTTTTCTTTAACCTCCTAACCTTAGGCAATCAGTTATCTACTTTCTGTCTCTAGAAGTTTGCATATTCTAGACATTTCTTAAATAATGGAATTATATAATATGTGATCATTTGTGACTGCCTTCTTTTTCTTAGCATATTATTTTCAAGGTTGATCCATGTTGTAGCATGTGTCAGTAATTCATTTTTATGGCTGAATAATATTCCATTGTGTGTATATACCACATTTTACTTATCCGTTTATCAGTTAATGGACATTCCACTCCCTGATTATTATGTGTGGCTCTTTCATTCAATAATATGTTGTGAACATCTTTGTATGAAGTTACTACATATCCGTTATATCATTCTTACTGATTCCATAGTATTTTGTTTTGTTAATATAATTTGTTTAACCATTCCATGTTGTTGAACATTTATTTACATTGTTTCTCTATTACAGTTCATAGTGTAATAACTGTATACCTTTGACTACTTCCCTGATTATTTCCTAAGGATAAGTTCCTGAAAATGCAAATGGTTTTCTTTCTCTTTCTTTCTTCTTTTTTGTTTTTTGAGACAGAGTCTTGCTCTGTCACCCAGGCTGGGGTGCAGTGGCACGATCACGGCTTATTGCAGCCTTGACCCCATGGGCTCAAGTGATTCTCCCACTTCAGCCTTCTGAGTAGCTAGGACTACAGGTGTGTACTACCATGCTCAACTAATTTTTTAAAATTTATTTTTATTATTATTATTTTTTGATACTGAGTCTGACTCTGTCCCCCAGGCTGAAGTGCAGTGGTATGATCTCAACTCACTGCAACCTCTGCCTCCCAGGTTCAAGCGATTCACCTGCCTCAGCTCCCTCAAGCAGCTGGGATTACAGGCATGTACCACCACATCCAGCTAATTTTTGTATTTTTAGTAGAGATGGGGTTTTACCATGTTGGCCAGGCTGGTCTCGAACTCCTGACCTCAAGTGAGCCACCTGCCTCAGCCTCCCAAAATGCTGGGATTACAGGTATAGGCCACCACACCTAGCTAATTTTTTATTTTTTAGAGAGATGGGGTCTCACTATGTTGGCCAGGCAGGTCTCAAACTCCTGGGCTAAAGCAATCTTCCTGCCTCAGCTTCCCAAAGTGTTACAATTATAGATGCGAGCCACAACACTTGACTGGTTTTCTTCTTTGTATATTTTTTGTTGAAGGTAAAATGTACATACATGAAAATGCACAGACCTTAAGTGTACAATTCAATGAGTTTGGCTGCCTATAACCAATACCCCAATAAAAATATAGAACATTTTCATCACTTCAGAAAGTGTACCCCATTCCAGTCAATTTCTGTCTTCCACAGACATTCACTGTTCTGACTTCTGTCACCTTAGGTTAGCTTTTCCTGTTGTTGAACTCCATACAAATGGAATCATACAGAATGTATTCTTTGGTGCCTGGCTTCTTTCACTTAACATAATGCTTGCGAGAATTATCCATGTTGTTGCATATAAAAGTAGTTTTTTGTTGTTGTTGCTGAGTAACAAACATAGTATATTCCATTATGTGAATATACTATGGTTTGTTTATCCACTCTCTTGGTGACAGACAAGTGGGTGGACGTTTGGGTTGTTTCAGTTTTTAACAACAATTTTTATATAAGAATTTTTTAAAAATGAAGACTTTTTGTGGATATATGTTTTAATTTATCTTGGGTAAATACCCAGGAGTGGAATTGCTGGGCTGTATTGTTTATAAGAACTTTATAAAACACTGCCAAACTGTTTTTGCAAAGTGGTTATATAACTTTACACTACTGCCTGCAGTAGGAGAGTTCCAGTTGCTGCACAACCTTTGTCAACATTCGTTGTTGCCAGTCTTCAATTTTAGCCATTTTGGAAGGTATAAAGTGATATCTTACTATGGTTTCATTTTGCATTTCCCTGATAATCATTGATGCAAAGCACCTTTTCTTGTGCTTATTGTGCATTTATTTGTCTTCCGTGAAGTGTCTGTTTTTTGTCTATTTTTTATTGGTAGTTTGTCTTTTTATTATTGATTTGTAGACATTTCATGGATATACTGTATACAAGTTCTTTGTCAGATTTCTATGTAATAAATATTTTCCCTCAGTCTGTGGCTTGTTCCAGTAGATATGTATCTCTTGATGAGCAAAAGTTTTTTCATTTTTATAAAGTCCAGCTGATCACTTTTTTTCTTTACTGGTTGGGACTTTTTTGCCCTTTGCTTTTTTCAAGGTCACATTGTTTTTGTTCAGAACTGAAATTGTGTTTAGGATTGTAGTAGTCAGGGTTCTCCAGAGAAACAGAACCAATAGAATATGTACATATTAGAGGGGGAAATACTTGTTTTCAGGAATTGGCTTATATAGTTGTGGAGCCTGGCAAGTGGAAAATCTGAATGGTGGGCCAGCAGGCTGGAGACCTAGGAGAGAATTGATGTTGAAGCTCGAGTACAAAGGTTGTTTGCTGGTAGCATCCCTTCTTCCTTGGGGGAGGTCAGTTTTTTTTTCTGTTAACAATACTTAATAGAAAGTACTTAATAAAAAGTATTGAAGGACTTAATAGTAAAGCAGATTATTATCCATAATGTGAGTGGGCCAATTAATGTGTGAGGCCCACCCACATTATGGATAATAATCTGTTTTACTCAGAATCTACTGATTTAAATGTTAATGTCATCTGAAAAATACCTTGACAGCAACTCTAGAATAATGTTTGACCAAATACCTGAGTACCATTGCCTAGCCAAGTTGACACATAAATTCACATTACAAGGACTCAGCTTTACAATTGCCTAGTCAAAGACTTTTTTTTTCTTTATTTTATTTTTTTTTTATAAAGACAGGGTTTCACCATGTTGATCAGGCTGGTCTTGAACTCCCGACCTCAGGTGATCCGCCCACCTTGGCCTCCAAAGTGCTTGGATTACAGGAGTGAGCTACCATGCCTGGCCAAAGACTTTTTAAAATGAGATTTTCGATAGGCATTGGTGAGCTGCTCCCTAGAAATACTACCATTTTCCATACCCCCCTCAATAATGATAGTGCCTGTTTTATTACACCCTAACTAGTAGTGGATATTATTGTTATTTTTCATGTTTGTTGACTGTATTTCATCTCTAATATTTCCTGTTTGTTTATTTTTTTGGTTGGGATGTTTAACGTTTTTGTATTTATTTGCCTTTTACTAACCTTTTTCTTATATTAACTTTTTGACTTATATATTGTAGGGCTTTTTTTCTCACTTCATTGTTTACCTTTTAACTTATTATTTCTTTGGCCATTTAACAGTTTTAATTTCTTATGAAGTCTTTCCTGTATAGCAATCTTTATAGTTTTTCTACTTAAAGATATGTAAGTAATATTATTTTCCTATACAATAAACAGTGTTTATAAAGATGTCCTTGAGTCTTTCAGAAATAAGTTAACTTATACTTATGTAATTTATTCAAGAAGTCTGAGATACTTATTTTGGATGGTGGGACCAAATAATTTATTATTCTTTGTGCTTTTTAGTACTAAGAATAGTAAAATTTAAAAGAGTAGTAAAGAACTGGATTATAAGTATTTAAAAGATCTCTATCCAAAATTGTTAAAACAAATTCTGAGTTTGGGTGCTTAAATGCGTAAGTCTTGATTCTCTGGAGAATTTGCCGTCTGGAACTGTGGTCCCAGAGAGCCCCAGAGTATCATAGCAGCTTTTTGTAGCAGCTTAGTGTGAGAGCCAAGGCTCTGATTTACCCTGCATCTGTGCTCATCCTTGCAGAAGCCACAGCGTTAGGTCTCAGTGGACAGCCCTGGCTGCCTTCTCAGGAGACAATCTGGCCACTCACAAATGATGACAGAGGAATATGGGTATCCAAACAAAAATATGGATATACATTACCTTCAGTGTGCCTGCAGATGATTATGTCTAAGATAATGTGTCCTTTTACTTTTCTTAGGTAGCAGATGGGGCAAATGCAATTGTGCTGGGGACCTTGGGAGACATTTCTTCCCCTCTTGCGATTATTGGTGGCAATTGTGCTCTGCAGGGTTTCAATCATGAAGGAAGCGATCTCTTTTGGACGGTATGAAGAAGCAAACATTCTTTTTGCTACTCTTAAGCATTTTTACTTTTGTTCTTTTTTAACCACCAACTCTACTGAATAATTAAAATATAGAACAATATTTATAATTCTCTATATTAAAAAAGGATATGAATAATTTGAATAACATTCATTTGTGTTTTATGTAATCCTCTCCTTCACGTAGCTAATATATTTGGAGTAAATAAAAAAAAGATGGCAAGCTAATGATTTGGGGTTTCATTTTCAGGTTACTGGAGACAATGTTCATTCCTTGGCCTTGTGTGACTTTGACGGTGATGGAAAGAAAGAGGTATGTGGGGGAGGAGATACCTCTCTTATGTGTTTAGCTGAATAAATTCTGTCATGACAGTGACAAAAAGGATTCTCCTGGCTGATTTTGCCAGGAGAATGCCTAAATGCTGAGCTAATTGACCTCATTTGTCTTTCTCTTCTCTTTTGAACGGTAAATCACTTGTGCTTCTCTAATAAATACAAAGATCAAAGCCATGGTGTTTCAGAGACTCAGGAGGGTGCAGAGAGGGTAGGGGATCGCAGTCTCATGAATTGCTCCTCATGCTTTGAAACCATGTTAATATGTAGTTTTCAATTTTAGCCAACTTTTTTGAGGAATCTAAATGTTTTAGAAATGGGCTTTTAGCCTTTGAAATTATTGTTATGGTTACCCTAGAAATTAGCTTCTTGAGCAGTAGGTGTGAAGTGCTGTGTTGGTCACTGACTTGCCCCTCTCTTATCCATGGACACTGGGCTCTGGTGTTTGAACAGGGCTTTCATCTGTAGGCAGCAAAAGTTGCTGATCCAGGGAGCATTTTCAGGTACTCAGGGAAATAACTTATTCTGACAAGATGTGCAATTCCAATGGCAGGATAAAAGCTGTAGTAGCCCGTTTCTTCACTGACTGAATGTGCTGATCCTCCCAATAGAGGGAGCATTCCTGAGCATCAGACTATTAGGAGGTAGTCAGTCTTGGGTGGCAGTGGCAGCATGGAAAATATTGTGCAACTTTTTGTTTTGTTTATGAAAATTTTGTTGTTTTCACTTACCTAAACATGTATGATATTTCCCTTTCAGCTTCTTGTTGGATCTGAGGATTTTGACATCCGAGTTTTTAAGGAAGATGAGATTGTGGCAGAAATGACAGAAACAGAGGTAAGAAGTGCCACCTTGAACTACAGTAACCTTGGGCAAGATAGATCAGCACTGTTAGATGAAACATCCAGTGAGAGTGCTGGGGCATCTCCCAACCCAGATGGTTTTAGGATAAAAACTGGGGGTCAGACAGAGTTGTATGTTATGGAAAGAAAAGCAGTAAAATTCCTAAGATTAATAATTAAGATATATTTTGAAAAGACTGATTAAATAGAGAAAAATTATTGAGTATAGTTGAATACATAAAGGCATTTCTTAGTTAATACATGCAAATAATAATAATAATGTCAACTATTTATTATGTACCTATCATATGCCAGGTGGTACTCTAAGTACTTTATATGAAGTAACTTATTGAATCCTTACAACAACCCTAATAGGAAGATAAATTATTATTTCCATAGATGAGGAAACTGATGTTCTGCTTGTTTGTTTCTTTGTTTTGAGAAACAGTTTTACTCCATCACCCAGGCTGGCGTGCAGTGGTGTAATCTCGGCTCACTGCAACTTCTACCTCCCAGGTTCAAGTGATTCTCATGCCTCAGCCTTCTGAGTAGCTGGGACTACAGGCGTGTGCCACCACCATGCCCAGATAATTTTTGTATTTTTAGTAGAGATGGGGTTTTGCCACGTTGCCCAGGCTGGTCTTGAACTCCTGACCTCAAGTGATCCGCCCACCTTGGCCTCCCAAAGTGCTGGGATTACAGGGGTTAGCCACTGCGCCTGGCCTGATGTTACATTTTTGTTAAGTTACTTGTACAATATCTTGGCTATGAAGTGTCATGGTCAGCGTTTGAACCTTTATGTCTCTTCTTCCTCTTCCTCATCATATGTATTGAATAGGGCTGAAATGCATAAATGAGATTTTTATATTTCTTTTCTTCATGCAAATTCAGTACTTCTTAGGCACATTTCTGTAGGTAAGCTTATTAGTTAACTCCAGCTCTAAAAAAAAAAAAATTAGGTGTTAGAAACTCGTGATTAGAATTACTCATGTAACGAATGGAACCTGAGATATTTCTTTAAAAAGTTTAAACTTTATTTTTAAAAAGTAATGTTTAGGCCTATGCAGTGATTCATGCCTGTAATCCCAGTGCTTTGGGAGGCCAAGGTGGGAGGATCACTTGAGGCCAGGAGTTTGAGACCCTCCTGGGCAACAAGACCCCATCTCTACAAAAAATATAAAAAATTAGCTAGGTATGATGGCACATGTCTGTAGTCCTAGCTGCTTGAGAGACTGAGGCAGGAGGATCCCTTGAGCCCAGGAGCTTGAGAATACAGTGAGCTATGATCGCACCACTGCATTCTACCCAGGGCAACAGAACAAGACTCTGTCTCAAAATTAAAAAAAAAAAAAAAATTAAAATGAAAAAAAAAAAAAAAAAGTAACAGTATTAAGACTTAGGAAAATAAAGACAAAAAGAAAATAAAAAGCAATATCTAAAGATTACCTGTATCATTTATGGTTTTGACATTCTTATGATATTTATTTGCTGCCAGTTTTTAGGATTGGGCAAGACTGAAACAGAAAAAAAAATTTTTAAGGTATTCTTAAGGAATAAGAAGAGGATAAAGGAGCAATGGCTTGTGAACATTGTAAATGGACAGAAAGAAACCAGTGAAAGGGAGTCTTAGAGATCAGAATGGTGGGATTCTGCAAAATTTAGTTATGTGGTATTTAGGAATCTATGTTAGAAAGCTTGAGGACACTGGTCTCAAAACTAACCTTGGCCACTTGTCCTTAAATTGCTTGCTTCATGCCACTCATAAAAGCTGTCTAAGAAGGTCACTTCTTTCCCTGTAACTAAAAAGGAAACCAAAAAGCAAAACCTACATATTGACATACAGTATTATCAATGACTTTAACGAATTTATCCTATAGCAAGAGTTATCAGTTTTTACTAAGTCCTACTATACCTTTTATATGTTCATAGGCAGTATGATGTAAGATGATAGTTGTGGACAAAGAAAAGATGAAGAGGACAAATGAGTGCCAAAAGGAGCAGTCTGAGGATGTGTGTCTATACAGGGAGTCTGTTTTGGTTTTTTTTTTTTTTTTTT